CTCTCTCTCTCTCTCTCTCTCTCTCTCTCTCTCAATTAGGTCTATCTATAGCCAACGTAAACATGTGCTCTTAATTTAAATAGCCATTGCCCGATATTTAAGTACAAAAAAAAAAGAAGAAGAAAAAACTAACAGCCACAACAACTCCACCAAAACGTCATCAAGACAAATGTAAGTCTTGATCGATAACAAAAGTTCTGCCATGCCGGATCATTCTCTTAAAAGGAAACAGGAAGTGCGTCATGAAAGTGAGACGGCATCCATTTATAATGCTTACGCCTACAACCTGCGCAAATTTTGAAACCGTCTGTTAAAATAATACGCATGGTAGATCTAGTTGTTATTTACTTACTTAACGATTTCAAAACAAGCAACAGGCGAAACTGTTGCTTGTTTGTATTTCATTAACTAGGGCATTTTGGTTGTTCATTCACCGATGCTGTTGCTATTGTTATTGCTGTAGTTGTTGTTGTGCTCTTTATGTGAAGGGATGGTGGTCGTCTTATTAAATAGAGAAGATCCGTTACGTAAGTGTGTTATAGAACGCACAAAAAGAACGCTTACATACGATAAAGCAATTGTGATAACGCAAGCGCTTGTGAAGAAAGCACTTGCTTGTCCTGTCGTTGAGGTGTACCACTATCTTTGGGTGTACAGAGTGCAAATCGCGCTTGTTACTGGTCAGAACTTGGGCATTTGGCGCCATGGCGGATTCGAGGGATGACGAACTATTTTGCTGGACAGTGTTTTGCCGAAAATTATCCCAGGAAAACGCAAAAGAATGGGATTTCATGAGATAAAAAAAGGAGGCTAGTGGAACGTGAATACACTCACTTGTTTCTTTCGCGGTTTTTTTTTTTAAACACGGCTGATATCAATAGAGACTCGACATCCATTTCGGTGCAATTTTCACTGAGACTGAGGGAAAATGCACACCGCACTACCCAAGTCTGACCAGACAACAAAGGGGGGCGGCACCAAAGTACACGCGTGCACGCGAGAAAGAATTAACTTATGATTCTTTACGCTTTCCAAGCGTCGATTGAAATCTCAGGCGCCACAGAGCGAGCGAGCTTTTTGTCCGGCACAACCAAGTTTTGAGCAACATTTTAAAACATCATTTACGCCAGAGAGAGTACTTGTATTAATGTTTTGTAGGCTTTTGTTGAAGAATCGAACTAAATACAAATGACCCCCCCCTGTCGTGGAAATCTCTCACTGTACAATCCACCTCTCCCTTCCTCCTCCCTTTTAACACTCTATAATTCACCTCTCCCTTCCTCCCCCCCCCTCTTTTAACGCTCTAAAATCCACCTCTCAATCCCCCCCTCCTCCTCCCATGTAGGAGGCATCATGGTCATCACATTCCCATACATGTTGGAGTTCCTGCCACGTCACAACCGCGCCTTCCTGGCCCTGCTCCCCTTCTGGGCCCTCAACCTGGCGATCTTCGCCATAGCCGCGCTCATCCTTGACCACTGGGCGCACGTGCACCTGGCCTGCGGCCTCATCTCTACGCCTGTGCTCATTGGGTGGTTGTGAGTACATGCGATGTGTGGTATCATCAGCTGGAAACGAAATAAGGCATGTGAAGGCATCGTGGTGAAATCAGGCGCCGTTAAAATAATGAAAATGAAAAAAACCCCGTCATTTTCCCGCCCTTTAGGCAAATTTTATATAATTCATTTATTT